ATATATATATATATATGGTGAGCTACCAGGTCATCAGTATCTAAATCTTCTCTGTCACTGAATGCGGACTTTCATGTGTATAATGAGTGGATGAAACTTCTGACAGCAAGTGTTTATTTGGTCACTCAGGTGTTGACATATAATAAAATAACTGACTCAGGTGGGCACAGAGCAGCTTTAGTCTTTAGGTGGTCCCACCCACCTCCAGCTCTGCTCTTCTCTGAGTGATCTGAGTGGTTAGTGTTAGGGTTAAACTGCAGAGAGTGGCATCCATCACGTCAATCTCATTCACAAAACTCAACCCCACAATTTTATTTACTTTAAAAAATAATGACAATGTCTCCATAAAAATGGCAACAGGAGACAAGGTGCAGACGTTTCTGTGCTTGTTGTCTGAAGACAGTTTCTGACCAGCGGAGGGAAGGTGACCTCCACTCAGTCAGTGTTCTGGGACTTTATTTCATTTATTTGCTCATCACTCTGTTGTGTTTGCCTTGGATAGAAGTTGTGGACGACTGCGGCGTAAAGATCCCCCCACATCGAGCCGGTGTCGACCTGAGAGGAGGTGAAACGGGTCGTGATGAGACTGAACAACGAAAAACAGTAACGTCAGCCTGAAATAATGACACAACGTTCCCAACTTTATGAAGAAAACGGCTCTGTAAACAACAAATAACGAGCAACGATGCAACATGTGACATTGTTTCATGGCTGCAGAATGACAGAAGGACTGAATCTGATCCCTTTTTGCCCGAGGCCTGTGTGATTTATCATGGACAGTTTAATGAGGCTGAGCCTTTTGTTTAAGAAAACTTGTGATAGTTTCAAATGCAGTGAAAGTTCCCCTCAGGCTGCAGAGCGAGACTTATCTTTACCAACCGAAGCTGTGGTTTCACCATGTGACACTTGAAAGGCTGAGGTGAAAAACAAGAGACCAGCACAACCTCAGGATGGTCCACCAAGTGTGGAAAAAATAATAAAAGTGTAGTTTGGTTTGGGAGCGTTTGAACTGTGATGACATTGTGTCTCATTGTGTTGAGTCTAACACTGAAGTGAGACAACTTTAATTACAACTCTTTTTTTGACTTCCAAGAATTTGC